GCCAGGTATTTGCCTAGCGTTTCTCTTGACAACCAGTACGATTTGGATGTAGCAGAAAAAAACTGTTCCGATTGGAATCAATAATTCAAAAATGAGCATTCCTACCACATGTATTTTAATATTGACGTTGTGTGTAAGGAAGTCAAAAGCGGAAGACGTCTGTAGTCTAACCGGGATATAGCGACCTACGTACCGAATAACAAATTGAAAATTGGTTATATTGTGTTTTTTTGCTAAAGCTACGTAGCACTTAGTAAGTTCGAACCCTCCCTTCTTAGAATAACCCTCAGTTTTGGATTTGTTCCAGTTATGCACTGCAGTTGTCGCAATGTCAACAACACTAGCCTAGCTAACTCGTCCCAGGCTGGGATGGTAGTTGACAAAGCTGTTAATCCCATCCTTAATGCGAGCCGAGATTCTGACTTCATGTGACAGTTTTGTTTCGTCCGTTGCTTGTGTTTGGCTCAGAATTGATTCTAATGCGGCAACCATGTTGGCATGTCTGGCATCAGTTGTGTTGAATGAGGCTTCATGCCTTAACACCTGCATTTGTTGCGAGGATTCGCAAGTACCGTCAGAGGATCGACGAATTCTGGCTACAATTCACCTTCGATGGATACCTCCCCGTCTCATTACCGCTGTTACATATTTGCAAAATAGGTAACCTGCACTCTCATCGAATTGCAATGCGAAGGCGCTGCTACACCATTTGTCCTCATGAAGAAAATTCACCAAATATGTTAACGTACCACAAATTACATAACAGTTGTTTTAATGGCCAAGGCTGTATAGGCAAGGATCCTAGATAGGAATTACGGGCTTGTGCCTCGTCGAAGTGTGGAGTGTTCCAGACCAGGACTCCTTCCCTGTCTAAGGCTTACATCTTCTCATTTGCTGTTCGTTCGTCGAGCGTACCTTAAACCTTCAGCACTGTAATGTGCACCACTATCTCAACGACTTGACATAGTCATTTCGAACATCATATGTGTCACCTGTGCAATACCTCGCTATTCTCCTGCATTGCTATGCAGTATATGTGCTACTTTACCCATTTATTAACTGCAAAATTGATTGCATACGTGATACACGAATATTTTTGTCATATCCAAACATCCGCGCATTGTATGGTGTTTAACGTTCCTTTCCAGAGTTAAATAACCAGAAGACTTCTTCACTTGGTGTATTCCAGGATGTGTTTTATGCTCAACTTACTGTATGGCATAAAAAGTATCAGCATCGATTCAACTTTCGATATTTATATATGGTTGTTCATCATCACTTTCGGTTTTTAGAGATTATGGCGTCATATAATGCAAAAATGGTTGTAAGTCACAATTAAGTATGTCATGGACGATGGCTTTATTTCGCATGTTAGAAAAATGTTCCTATTCTACTGCATTCAATTTAACACATGCTTACCGGCTAATTACGAGGATCTATCTGCATGGCCTCTACGCTGACGTATCATGGCGTCTTCGGAGGCTAGGCCAGTGATGGACAGAGAAGTAGGTTGCAAATTCTCAATTGTAAGGTGATTCAGAGTCAGTTCCAAGGTCATGATATCTCCATTAACAGGCTCGAGCTCATGTTATCTGAGATGCCAATACGCTTGTTGAATGCTGCATTGCATCTGCCAACGAGCAGGCGGAAACAATTATGTCTTGCTAGTAGAATGCACTCCAAAGTGCTGGTAACAATGATGCCACACAGACCACCAAACTATTCGTAAAGTAGGATATCGAATAACGTTACGGCAGTTTTCGTCGTTCCGTACAGATGAAGAACGAAACATGCACTATACTCTTTTTACAACACTGAATTTTACGTTGTAGCGTGTGCATATTTCCCGGACAAAACGTTCTTATAGTTCACAGAAAATTAAAAGAGGGTGTTTATTTAGATAACCAATATCCAAATGTTTCTAGGGTTCAGTAGGCTATACTCCAAACAATCTTAAAGAAGAGTGCTATACAAAAACCACGACTATATACTTAGCGATCGTTTATGCCTTGCATTGAAAATGTGTAAGCGGAATTTGAGAAGGTCAACAATGTCGTCCTCTCCAGTCCCGCCAACCCACAGATCAGTCTCATCTAGGACGTCCAAATGCCAATCAGCCAATACCGATCCGGCGAGTTGGGCGCGATCGGTGGTCCCCTAAACGCGAACGTCTTAGGCACTACACGGCTACCTATGGGTCTCCAGCAGATAACGCAATATGAACACACCAAATGCAGACAAGTGCATGAGCTTTAAGCATGACGCCGGAGACTGAGACGGAAACCCTGAAAGTTACAGCTCAGTAACTGCCAAAGTAAAAGTTTTTGAATTTATCCTGTCTATCTTCTTGGCTGCGCAGAAACCGGCGTCATGTTACTTGGGGATATAACAGTAGCTCCGAAAAAACAAACAAAACAACAAAAAAGCAATTTGTATTAGAGCGTACAATAACATACCCAATCCGTAGAAAGGAGAAGAGCTCCAAATAAGGGACCAACACCATTTGAATTCAATCATTAGTAAGACTCGTCGACGGCCAATTCTTGCGATTGATTGAAATGGCTGAACAATAAGTAAATATCGATCGACTGAAAGCATCACCGCGGTATTTAGAGCAGCGAACCCCAGTAGACATTGCAAGAATCCATAGATCTCACAGCCTTGTGATTTAAAAAAAATCGTTGTTGCTGATAGTGTTCAAAAAAGTGTAATCGTAGTTATACAAGCTGAAACTAAAAACATTTAGTCATTACTGCACTAAACAGTCCTTAATTGCTAAGAATGCATAAGTTCAAACGTGCAGTTTCTAACCACCTCCCAGACCTCTAGTGATTAATAACTGACAATTGCATTATTGACATAATTCCAGGTCATTTTTAAACTCAGTATAGACAGTATGTTCACTTGAAATGTCAGGCAAAGCTATTTAATATAATAACTCATGATAAAAGTGCAGTCATTAACAGGGTAAACTCCCCATTTTAAAGCAGGCTCAGATAAGCAAACATTGTGTTTAACCAGTTCAAAATTATTTATTCTGTTAAATGGGATACCCTTACGAATAAAAAAGAATGTTTTGATTCAGAAGTAGACAACATGGGCTGCCGGATGAAATGTTTTAGTTCAAAATGTGTTGGCTCTGTGAAACGAGTATGTGGTTCCTAAAGGGCTGCATCTGAATTATGCTGAGTACCCTACATTACTGATCATTTATCCTTCACATTTACCAATATCGATCGCTGCGATCAAGTCATCTTCTACTTCTCATTGTGCTTACTATAAACAATCTGAGACTGGGTTCGCATGGAGCATAATGAGCCATTAAGTAAGGTGCCGTGCAAGTTTGTCTCATTATAATCTAGTTCATGTGTGAATGGGCTTCTTTGCGCTGCCTCGCCGTTGCGCACGTCGTAGGCCTCATCAAAGCCGACAGACCAACTTTCAGGATAATAGTACTTTTACATTTAGGAGGTCGTCTAAAATGTTGCTTGCCAGTAGCATCTATACTCCCTTTCTGTTAGTTTTGATTGTCCTTGCCCTTAGCTGAAGTCTTACATAATGCTTTATTAATTTTATTTTAACATTGCACAAAATATGGACATTGCGAAAAAGCACATTGCATCTTAAATTTGAAATAAAACATCAAATAATTATATTGAGACAGTATTGGCCGATAGATGTTTCAGTTGGAAAATATGGGTCGTGTCGATTAAATATATTTGATCTATTAGAGTGTGTGACAGATTCAATCGCCAAAGTTCTAAGTTTACTTTTACCTGTAGTAAATGAAGTCTAATGTTACAATAGTAGTAATGTGTACATTCAAGTCGCCGTAGAAACCTATATGACTGTCACATCATAAAAATCTCACAACATGTTACCACACAATTATATGGTTCGTCGAATTTGAAATTCGTAAAATTGAAATCCTTTATTTTAGAAAAAAAAATGTAAAAGCTCTAGCTGCCATGGGCATATATAATGCTTAAGAAAACGTATGCTGCAGCTCACGTAGTTTCCCCCCGTGCCAATATCCATAGAAGCTCGAAATTGTCTTACGTTGGCCGATGACTCCGGAAACCATGTGAGATATGGCCATATTGACTATGAATGTATTTGGCGTTGTGCGCAGAGATTTGGAGCTGAAGATATACGTACAAGGATACCTTATAGACTTGCGTAATTGCAGAAGAAATCAAACAAGAACTGTTAACTTTGAATGCATATGCATGCAACTGTTCTTTAAAAGAATATTGCGCTGGTTTTTCTCTTTCACCATTTGTCGGTGTTCCTTCATTGCAATGGCCCTGGGAAAAAAATGACAACTACTTTTTCTCCTGCAAAGCTGAGCATTGTCCCAAAATTTGTTAACTTAAAGTACTTCCCTGTTTTTGAACCGTCACAGGAGCCTTGCTTGAACACGTGTATGCTACAGAAAACCGTAAGTTCCGCGTCATAACTTCCGGAGCTACCCTCATACAGTTTGTCTTATCATTCGCAACCCTTATTTATTAAATACCTTTAGAACGCAGTGACCGATCTTGAGTAACAATTGAAGACCTCACCAACAGATTAACGAGCTGACGTTTGGGATGACCGCTTTATACCACCATCAGAAAGAGTTGCAGTTAAGACTACTGGAGGTGTATGGAGTGCAGTATTCATAGAACGTAGTAAACTTGCCACCAGGAATCTAATCAAATTATCAGACCTCACCGATATCGCTGGTGGTCTATAAGAAGCTTGCGCGTTAGTCTCCCCCAGATTATTAATTGTCACCATTTCACCAGCGTTGTCGGTATTTGCCATGATAGTGAATTTACACTATCACTTGTTGTTCCTAGATACGTTGGAGGCCCGCGTCCTCCACGCGAGTGGCCACTTAATCTGCCTAGAAAATTTCGTAGCATTCAATATGGAGGCACGAAGTTGTGGCGGTTTTTATTCAACTGCGGGCTATAGATTAATAACTGGATTGCAACTGCTCCGGGTATTTCTTCCTCGTCAAACTTAAAGTTGTGGTTGTGTACCGTCACGTTAACCGCTACACGAGAGGAAGCATCCTTCTTTACTAATTGTGCTGTATTCTCAGACAATTATATGTGTTTTTGCACGATCTTTCGTACATGACAGACACGCTGAGCATTTTACCTTGTGTTATAACAGCGTTTTCTTTTTCTGTCAAGTTAACTCGGAGGCAGACTATGACTATGACCCTGAATGTGGCATTCATAACACTCCTGCATGTGATCTTGGAGCCTCATCACCCCTTTCTGTGGGAATCTAGTGTGGTGTGGGGATGCGAGTTCATTTGTGCTACTCACAATCGGGGTCTCTTAGGTCTGTCAGCTACGGCGCCCGATCCTGAAAGCGGGCCTCTTGGCATTGTAAAGACACTGGACCCTAGCGGTCAGGGGACTATATAATGCGGCAAATGCTGCGCAAGCACAAATTATTTAGAGTGAACGGCGGCATCACTGCACCCTGAAAGTTTGGAATTAAACGAAGAACGTCGTCGAAATGGACAATTGAAAGTCATCCTACTCTAACTCAAGGCATAACGTGGAAAGATACATTAATTACCTCATCAAATGGTTTGATTAGTGAGTAGGATAGTTTTGAATACTTCAGCTGACGTACAAAGTCTTCGAGTTTCTTCAAGTAGGACAAATTAATTATATAGTTAG